CTGGGGGAAGATAGTCTTTTATAACCACCTAGTGCACTCACTCCCAAGTTTTTGCCAAGTCAGGTATAACCGCCTCTGTGGGGGGCAGATATAACCGCCACTGTCCTCTCTGTCAGGGCCGTCTCTGCCCCAACTGAGATGGCGGTAGCAAGTGGCCGTTACGACGTGATTGCCATCTGTAAGATCCAGACCAGTCAGGCGTGCTGCCTCAGAGTATGGACCTGTCAGGTACTCAGGCGTGCTGCCTCAGAGTACGGACCTGTCAGGTACGGTTTCACAGTTGCGCGACCTGGAGCCGAGGTGCAGGAGTGGTGCGCGAGGTGAAGTCTTGAGTTTGAATGGGAGTATGTCCTATTGTCCGGCATATGACCCGGACTGACCCGAGGTGGGCTAGTCCAGGCTCTGCCCATTGCGGGCTTCTCTGTTAACCTCGGGATTCTTAGGGAGAGCTCGGGTTTCACCTCCCAGGAAGTGTGGGTTTCTTTTGGGGAACTCGGGCCTCTTCTTGGGGAATTCGGGAGCTCGGGCCTCTTATTGAAGAGCTCGGGAAGCTCGGGCCTCTTCTTGGGATATGGCCGTGCTATGTCACCGTGCCGAGCTGACGTTCCTGCCAGGTCACCCCGATTTCTTCCACGTGTCGCACAACCAAGGGGTCGGGCCAAATCTATCTCCATCAAACCCCATGGGTTTAAGTCTTTTACCTAGAAGCATTAAATACAAAGAACGCAAGTCTACCTACCTAATCGACTGATTCTATATAGTCCACGTACAGTGAACACAAGCTTCCCAATACGGACGCAATTTCGTTAGTTTCCTGTTCCTGGCTGTTAGCAGGAACAATATTATCCCCATCCCCGTTTTTATGGGGATGCTCACTCTTCATGATTTTTTATAATGTTAATTATTTTATTTAAAATATTAAAAATAAAATAATTAAAATTTATAATATTATTAAAAATATTCAAATATATTTAAACATGATTTTAAAAATATTAACATACTTAGATATATATTAGGGTCCTTGTTAGGTGGAGAGTACTCTCCCCCTTCCTGTCAATGGGGATGAAAATTCTCCCATTCTTATCTGTGCAGGGGGAAAATCATCCCTATCCCTGCTCTATTTAGGATGGGCCCCACAGAGAATGGGGAAATGGGGAAAATTGCCATCCCTAATGAACAACTTTGATTTGCCTCATGAAATGCATGTCTGAAGCAAATCTTCAAGTTGAGCATGTGGCTGAGAGGTTCAGGCAATACTTTATGATGTAATCCAATCTCCATGGGGGTTTAACTCTTCCTCTAAGACAATCGATTATGTGCTTCGAATCTCTTTTGATGATGATTAGTTGGTCCTTTAAGTAAATAGCAATGTTTATAGCTTCCCATGCCATCCACATTTCTACAAGATTTATCGTTGTATACCCAATGTTATAAACTTTGATCACAAGGACATCCCTATGATGATTCCTTGCGTTACAACAAATAGAATAGATGCCTTCATTCCTATTGGAAGCATCAAAGTTGATCTCGACACTACTAGGCTTAGGATTAAACCACGCAATAAGATTCCAAACCTTCTTATTTCAAAGGTTTTCACTTAGATTATCATCCTTGATCTCCTTCCAATAACCACTAGCTCTTTCAATAATGGGCTGAGGATTACCCAATTTATCATTGAAACATTTGTCGCTTTTCTTCTTCCAAATGCCCACAATGAAAAAGAAAAAAAAAAAAAATTTGGAATGGAATTTTATTATAAGTGTTGGAGAAATTTAGTTTCATGATAAATGGATCCATTGGGTGGTGGAAGGTATCCAGTCTACTTCCTTCAAAATCCTCATTAATAGACCCCCTATCAAGACTAGTTTTGCGAGTAGAGGTATCAGACAAGGGGACCCTCTGTCTCCTTATATTTTTGTCCTTTGTAATGAAGCATTTGGTGGTGATAAATTGTAAATTGTATTGCTAAAGCCTAGGATATGGGTTGGGGATAAATGTGAATTTTCTTGGATTAATCATTGGTGGTAAATGGGTTGGGGGTAAACATTGATCACCTGTTCATTATTAAGTGTGAATTTTCTAGCCAAGTTTGGAGACTAATGAGTTTAAGTATCCGATGCCTTGGATTAACCATTGGTGGTCCAGAATTACTAATCGTGCATGGTTTGTCCTTGAATGATCAATTTTTTAGAGGGAAAACAATGGCGGAAATAAAATAATGGATGAAAGTTTGAATTAGTCTTGAATAGACTGCCATGTTGAATTGGTCTGTCACTCTGTTGAAAGGGATTGAATAATTGCATGCATTATTGCATTTGCAACTTGCAATGGAAAGGTCAAAAGGACTAATTAATTCTGCAATTAATCATACACGAGCAATTAACTGTTAATTCATTGAACTGGTCTCAGCTCTACCAGCAATCTGGTAGTTATAAAGCAACGTGATTGCAGAAGTCAGTCCATCGCTCACTCAAACATTTCAAACATTATTGTGCCTTCTGCATTTTTCATGGCTCTTTCCAACTTTTCCCATGAAGCTTCTTCGTCCTCTGACTCCAACCATGTTTGGAAGGTCTTCTTGAGTTTCAGGGGTGAAGACACCCGTGGAAGCTTCACCGACCACCTTTACGAAGCTTTGAACAGAAGAGGGATTCGCACCTTTAGGGATGACGAAGAACTCAGGAGAGGGGAAGAGATCTCGTCAGAACTACTGAAAGCAATCGAAGGATCGAAGGTTGCGATAATAGTATTCTCGAGGAATTATGCATCTTCAAGATGGTGGTTGGATGAACTTGTCAAAATCATGGATTGCAGCAGAACAAACGGCATGTTGGTGCTTCCTGTCTTTTACGACATTGATCCATCAGATGTTCGGAATCAGAGTGGGACAGTTGCAGAAGCGTTCGCCGGACATGAGATGCGTTTCCAATCGGAGAAGACGGAAGGGTGGAAAAGAGCACTCAGACACGCTGCAAATTTGTCCGGGTGGGATTTACAGACATTGGCGAATGGGTATGAAATCAATTCCTTGATACCTTATTACAATTATTTGCACTTTTTTTTTTTTCTTTCGTTTTTTACCTCATCTTCTAATACTAACGGTGATCCGTGCAATGCACGGGCTCCTGTTTAAAGACTTGTGTTTTAAGGGAAAAAAATAGCATATACAAATAAAAAGAAATAAAAATGCTTATAGCATGTGATCAGTTAAAAAACACAATTTCAAGTTGAACTGACCACAATAACAAATGACTCATGTTAAGGGTTTATTATTGCATTTTATTATTGAACATGGATAATCTATAAAACAAATCTATATGTTGAACAAATAAAAAAAGGAGAGAGAAACCTGATAACCATGGAAACAAGGGTTTCTTTAGGGTTTTACATAAGAAGATCGGTTCACCCTATGTATTAGCGGGCAAATTTGGGTTTTGACATTAGTTTGGACCAAACAAGTTTTCATATTTAGGTTGACCCTTAACCTAATTCAATTTATCTAATTTTCACCCCTACTTTTATTAGAGAGAGAGGGAGAGAGCCAAAAGGTACTAAGAGAGATCATATAGGAACAGGAATACAGATCCACGATGAGCATAATGGAATCATTCAGATCAAAGAGCGACTTCGATTTAAAAAGGTTCTTGTGATCTTTGACGATGTAGACGAACCAGACCAGATCGACAAACTGATTGGAAAGAGTTATTCCTTTGCTTCAGGAAGTAAAATCATCATAACTACCAGAGATCAACGTTCGCTTAAGAACAATGTAATAAAATATGAAGCTAAATTATTGACAGATGTTGAATCTGTTCAACTCTTTAGTCTACATGCATTTGAAAAAGAGCAACCTCCAGAAGACTTTATGGAGCTCTCAAGAAAAATAGTAGTGGAACATGGTAAAGGTCTTCCTTTAGCTCTTGAGGTTTTGGGTTCTCGTTTATATGGAATAAAAGACAAGGTTGAGTGGAAAGGTATTTTGAAGAGTCTAGAAGAAATTCCTCCCGAGAAAATTACCGAAACGCTCAAGATTAGGTGGCTGTCATTACGGTGATCTCATTCGTAAATGTCTCTTAAAAATCGAGAGGAATGTATTGAAGATGCATGATTTGCTTAGAGATATGGGAAGAGAAGTTGTTCGTGAAGAAGTCCCAGACAACCTCCTTGGAAGACGTAGCAGATTGTGGTTTCATGATCATGCGTATGAGGTTTTGACAGAACATAAAGTAAGGGTTAAATCCTGGACTGTTACTATGTATATGAAACATATAGCAGAATGTGGTGGTATCTCGGTCTTACACTTCGGTATAATCTTTGATTTGATAAAAAATAAGAGAAAAACAGAGAAAGTTGTGGAAAAGGCTTTAAGGAATCTCATCAAATTGCTTGAAAATTTTTCCACACCTTTCAGTTTTCTCACTTATATATTTTCCATCAAATCAGACACAACAAAACAGATGTTATATTAATAAAGTAAAACAATACTGTTGTTCTTGATATGGAAATTATTTGTCCATGTATTGATATTGCCTATATATGTGTATATATGCATGCAAGCACATAAGAGGGTTGCAACATTTAAAATATGAATAGGCTCTATGAAAAATCCAGATTTGCTCCTCGAGGGGAGCCCGCCTCAACACCAAATGGGATTTCCTGCCCACTACTCTCTACCCATATTTTACCTGCAGTGAATTGAAGCCACACATCTCTATTATGAATTGTGATAATTCACAGAGGGTAGGGTGTGGGTAAAAAAGCTGAACAGGAAATTTGGCTGCAATGTGCTGTGCGGTTGGTATGAGGAGGACTATGCAAGGTGCAAATTCGATTTAGCTTTTAGTAGGGAAAAAAAAATTACTCTTGCCATGGATGGGTTGAAAGCCCTTAATAAAAAATTAATTTCCTTTGAAATTTTAACTGTTAGCCATAATTGTGTGTTTTGATTGTTTTCTTAACTTATTTAATGTTCTTTTTGCTGTAGGGAAAAGAAAATATTCAAGGTCTCTTCCTAAACTGGCCCAGCAAAGAAAGGTTAGATTTGAGGACTGAAGCATTCGCAGAGATGTGCGACCTAAGACTGCTTCAGATCAATTATGTACATCTCAATGGAGGTTATGAACACCTTTCTAAAAACTTAAGGTTGCTTTGTTGGCATGGATTCCCTTCGGAATCTTTACCAGCAAACTTTGGTTTGGAGAAAGTTGTTGCACTCGACCTCCAACACAGTAAAATAAAACAACTTTGGAAAGGAGAAAAGGTAAGGCGCAAGTTATACATTTCCCCCTTTATCATTCTATATAAAGGAATTAATTTCTCATATCTTATCTTCACTATCCATTTTGAGTAGTCCGGATCAGCTACCAACAAATTAAACACATTTCAACCCTCTATCAGCACGGTCTAACAGCACACAGTCTCACGGTGAGCTGTGCGGTTTTGGATTTGTTGGCAGAAGATCCTCAGTCCTTTCAAATAACCATTCAACCTAAAAGCTTAAGCTGTTAGCCTGAGGTCATTGAATAGGCCCCCCTCCCACAGGGCCCATTGGGCTTGAAATATGAACAAGCACGGGCCCACCCATACCTTGTACTGAAACTTAATTAATTATAATGGGGTAACGAGGACTAGACCACTTGGTGAAAGTGGCTCTAATACCATCTCAAAGAACCCTCCAACCTAAAAGATTAAGCTGTTAGGTGAGGTCATTGAATAGGTTGGTATTCTCTAGCAACTCCTAATTCAACCATTTTTTTGTGCAGTCTCTAATGCAGTTGAAATTTCTGAATCTCTGCTGTTCCAATCTACTAGTTGAAACCCCTGTATTATCAAGCCTTCCCAATCTTGAGAGGTTACTTCTTAAAAAATGTAGAAGTTTGGTTAGTGTTCACAAATCCATTGGATGTCTTCAGAAACTCGTGGTGTTGGATTTGGAATACTGCCTTGCACTCACGCACCTTCCAAGAAGCATTTGCTACTTGACTTCCCTTGAATATCTTTCTCTACATGCCTGCAAAAAACTTAACATGCTGAAACTAATGGAAAGTGTGGAGTCGCTTAAAGCGTTGAAGTTCCTTGATCTTAGTCATTGTCCTTCCCTTACCAAAACCCCCAGCTTCTTAGGACTTTGCAATCTCGAGAAATTGATTATTAGAGGTTGTGAAAATTTGGCCGAGGTTCATGAATCCATTGGGTGTCTTGATAGAAAGCTTGTTCTTTTGGATCTCCGATTCTGTCGTAGAATGCTTAGAGAACTTCCAAACAGCATCTGTAAATTGAAATATCTTAGGAAACTTGATCTTCTCGGTTGCGAAAACCTTTGCAAGTTGCCAGAGGAATTGGGGAATATGGAACGCTTAATGGACTTCGATGCAACCTGTACGGGTATAAAACACCTACCTCCTTCCATTGTACGCTTGAAGAACCTCATAAACTTGAATCTCAGTTCGCGTAATGTTAAGGCTTTGGGATCAGGAGCATTGCCACCGGTCTCTTTCTCTAGCTTCGTTTTCTTACGTTCACTAGACCTCAGTGGTTGTAGACTTTCAGAATATGTAATGCCCAGTGACATTGGGAACTTATCCTCGTTGCGAAAGCTGGAATTAAGTCGGAACAACTTTCGTAGATTACCAGATAGTATTGAGAGTCTTTCTCAGCTTAGATTCCTTACGTTGGATAAATGCACAAATCTTCAATCGCTCCCAATGCTTCCATCAGGTATAGAGTCCCTAAGTGCATCAGACTGCCAATCATTGACAACGCTATCCAATCTTGGGTGCCTAACATCATTAGTTACATTAGTTCTAAATGGTGCCAAATTTTGTAGCTTACCTGACACCCTCAAGGACTTTTCACTACTCACGAGCCTTCATCTAAGTGATTGCACAAACCTCAAGGCACTCCCAGAGCTTCCATCCAGTCTAATGCATTTGCATGCAAATGGTTGCACATCCATGGAAAGATTGCCAAATTTGTCTAACAATCTGAATCTACGGTCACTGGTGCTTCGTTGCTGCAACAAGTTAGTTGAGATTCAAGGCCTGCAGATGTTACATTTAGAACTCATAGACCTAGCAGGTTGCAAAGAGCTGGCAAATACTTGGTGCAACTTTCTATTCAAGGTTCTGATCTCTCTCTCTCTCTCTCTCTGTTTTTGTGGACTGTGTTAATTAAATGGATTCCATGGAACAGGAACTATTTGGAGGTGCCAAAATTGAAATATTTCTTCCTGGGTCCAAGGTTCCGAAGTGGTTCAGCCATCGAAGAAGTGGTTCTTCACTATCTTTCGATGTGCCTGTGGATCATAAGATACAAGGGTTGATTGTATGCGCCATTTATGGAGGTACTGAGAACCCGTATTCTAGTTATTCTCCCGGTGCTTGTTTTACTAGTAAAAAAACTAAAGCCGAATGGGCATGCTATATAGGAAACAAAGTCGTCGACTTGACAAGTGATGATGAAATGTGGTTGTGCAGCATACCACATACTGATTTTAGGTTTCCATTCGAAAGTGGAGACAAGATCTTAGTAAGTGCCAGGAGTCTAACAGTCCAAGTGAAGGAATGGGGAGTACATCTTGGAGGTGAACCAAGAGACAAGTCTAGTGAAGAAGGAGGTTACTGTAGGGTGCTGTAGGGTGATTAGATTATATAGCTGGGTCAGAAAGTTCTTTTAAGAAGGTTGTGTGGCTTTTTTGATGGAATAGAGAATATATGCCATTGCACCAAACAATGGACCCATCCATCTTCCTTTGTCTTTTATTTCAAGACAGAGAAAACAAAAAGACACAAGAAAATAGGGGCTAAGGAAAAATAATTTCATTCTCTCATCACATACGTTGGGTGAGTCATGGGCTCTTAAAGTTAGGGGTCTCTTGGAGGGGTTCAAACAAGAAGAAGCTGCTATGAAGGCGACATCCAGAGCAAGGCTGTGATATTGTAATATCGTTTATCTCCAATAAGCATTTCCAAGAGTGTTTGTTCTCTCTTTGAGGTGGTGAGAAGATTTATTCTTGTTTTATTGTTGTAAACCACCATTTTAGTAAGGATTTGAGCTTGAGCAACGAGTGTTTCCTCTTCACATTGGAGAGGTTTTCCATGATAAAAACTGGTATTGTATGCTTGCCTTTTGTTTCTTTGATATTTCTTAGTTATTTATTGCTTATTGTTGTTATTCTGATTTATATGGAGATTTAAGTCAGTTTAGAACAAGCCACTTGCACATGGGTTGTGCAGTGCGAAACAGGGTATTGCAACTCTAGAATACTTAATTTGTTTTACTACTATAATAGCGTATTCTAAAGTTGGAATCAGAGTATTTAAAAATATGAGCAAATCTATTTTAAATTGCTGAAAAGTGTTTTGTTAATCATTTCATAATGTTTAGAAGACCTACAAACCAGTATCAAAGTTGTGGTTGGCTATGTTGTGATTTTCTCTTGTCCCAAGTGAAATGGAAAAAAAGTTCTTGTACGTACCATGTTTAAGTTGATAGTATCAAAATATACCATTTGGAAAACAAGAACAAAGGATGTCTTATACTATAAAGAGATGTTTCAGCCCATTAAACTAAACTGTGTTAAACCACTCAATGAAACTGAGTGGGGGCAAATAACGTTTTAAAGACAGTGTTTTCAAATACGCCTCAGAGCTTTTCCTCTAAAATTTCAGTGACCCCATTTTCCAACAGTTGGAGAGTCTATATAAGTATAAGACCTTACAAAGCAAAGCATTCAATCATGACTAGAAAACTTGTAAATATGAAATACAATGATGGTTGTAATTTTGTAGAACCCTTGAATAACTTCCAAGAAGTCTTGAATGAGCTATCCAGCATGAAGTTTGTGTTTGATGATGATGTTTAAGCACTACTTTTGAGTTCCTTGCCTGATAGTTGTTGGGAAACATTGGTAGTTTCACTTAGAAATCCTATCCCTAATGGTGTGTTAACAATGAACATGGTGAAAAATGGCATGTTTAATGAAGAAACAGAAGGAAAGAGCATGGTACATTTTCTCAATTAAAAGCAATATTTGTTATAGAGAAGTGGGGAAGAAGCAAAACTAGAAAACCCTATGATGGTGATAGTAAAGACAAGGGGAAGATTCAAGTCAAGAAAAGGAATTAAATGTTATCATTGTGATAAGCCCGATCATATGAAGAAAGTGTGTAGAAAACTTAAAAGAGAACAATCAAGGGAAAGAGGTGAACATAAAAAGAAAAGAAAAAGATACAATTGTAGTTGCAACCGATGAAGATTAATGAAGTTGTTATTATTTGTGGTGATGCTAGTTTAAATCATAATTACATGCCAAGGTTCCAATTGGGTAGTAGATTCGGGTGCCTTATTCAAGGTAACTTCACGGCATGACTTCTTCACATCCTACACTACTGGTGACTTCGGCTATGTTGGGGTGGGAAATGATTAGCTGCCAGTTTCTATTAAAGAATGTACGATATTTAATTTCCAGAAATCTGCCTCCATTAGTTGGAGTAATGGTTTCCCCAACTAAAGCTCAAGTCCAAGAACAAATCTGGTTATCTCTGATTTAGTATTTTAGTCTGTGAAATAAATAGAGTTTTCTACTAAGAAACTGACTAAAAAGATTTTATACTGAATAAGATCTAGAGTGAAAACCTACGAGATTTCCGAATTTCCATGTACGGCAAGAGAACTCTGAAGAAATTCCAATCGGTTTTGAAGATTATAGGGTAATTTAATGGAACAAAACAAGTGTTAGGCAAGAAGAGGATGAAAAAAGGAGTTTCGGATTGGAACCACCACGGATGAGAGTGGATCAAAGCTCTTTTGCAGTGACACTCTCTACTTATCCCCCCCCTCCCCCCCTCTTTTTGCTCTCCCTTCTCTCCCATACAAATATACAAATCAGTTAGGAAAACCAGAAAGAGAAGGGGAAAAGTCACTTTCTTTAACTCAGGAGTGGCTCCTCCTCCGTGTCCGGCCGTGAGACGGTGACCTTCTCCGAGCCAAGTAACCCACGTAGCTTTCCTCGTCAACCCAAAAGCTTTTGTCCCCGTGTTGCTGCTCCTCTTAGCATTTCTTGATGACCCATTGTAGTCTCCTAATACGGGTCTTCTTATTGAGGTATAGATTCAGTCCCTTATATTTTTTATTTTATTTTGGGTCATTGAATTAATCCATTGGGTGAACCAATCAATATATTGGTAAGTCATCTTATTATATTTTTTACTTTTAATTCTTATACTAAAAATCAAGATTTGAGGTCGGGTTCATATTGGGGTGAACCTGCACCGAACTCAACTTGTTGACATCTTTGGAAATGTAGTTTAAATAGTGCCAATCAAGTATAGGTATATTGCATATGAAGTGGGGCAGGGCGGGTTTGGTATATATCCCTCTCCATTCAATTGGTTTCGGTTCAGGTTCAAGTCAAATTTGTTTCAGAATGATTTTGGGTTGGGTAGTCATGTCAAATCCATTCAGTTGACATCACCATAAGAATGATATTATATAAAACCAACCTAGAGGTTCACCATTCTTGTCTCTAAAGTCGCAAGTCATTGGTTGAACCATTCAGGTCATCAATCAGGTCAGGCCACACATCAACATGATTTATACATTATATCAATAAATTAAGGGAAAATTTTCGATAGGTACCCTGTATTTTATGTCTAGTTCCAATTTAATATCCAAACTTTAAAATACGACAATCTAGCATTCATTACTGGTTGATAAAGCAACTAGTAATAGGTGATCCAGGTGTTCCATTACTGGTTGATAAAGCAACAACCGGTAATAGGTGATCCAGGTGTTCCATTACTGGTTGATAAAGCAACAACCGGTCAGGGGACCCAAACTTTAATACCCATCGTTAATTGTCATGGGAAAAGAGACAAATGCCCTTCGAGTATCATCTAATTTTATTTATCAACCATCTGTTAATAGGTGATCCAGGTGTTCCATTACTGGTTGATAAAGCAACAACTGTGTAACAAATGCCATTCAAGTTAAACACATCTCAGAACTCACCAGTCTTCAAAGGGAAAACCGGGGATCTTCCGTTAATAGACAAAGTGGTGTGAGCATAGTTTTTAAAAATGAACCGGAAACAGAACCGGTCAGGGGACCGGTTCCAGTTAAGCAGTTCAACCGTCTGGTCGAACGGTTCAACCCATGATGTCATAAATAAATTAAAAATAAAAAATATATTTATAAATAATAAAAATAACATAAAATTAAATAGAAAACAGAAAAAATACAAAAAATAAAACTATCTAAATAAAAAATAATACAGTATAAAATACAGAAAAAATATAAACATAAAATACAGAAAAATTCTAAAAAACACAGAAAAAACACAAAAAAATCAAAATATACAGAAAAAATAGCTTGGAATAAGCCGTTAAATCTATATGTAAAAATCAGTGCAAAAAAACCATGAATTTGGGTTGTGAGAGATGTTTGGCTGAAGATTCTTCATTCGTGAAATGAAAGACCCCTTTGAGGAGGAAATTGATTTATTGAAAACAAAGATTGAGCAACAAGACAACTAGCCTGAAGAGACAAACCGGAGCAAGCTAAAGAAGACAAGTGAAAGAAGACAAACTCACTATTCATCGTCTTTTTTCTTAGCAAGGC